TGCTTTAGAGGCTTCTTACCAATGAGAACGATGGTACGATGCTCGAACCCGGGTTCTCCAGCTTATTATATGAACGCAGGTTTAAATATGGTGACTTAGTAAAGCTGCGTATTCCGTGCATCTTACAGAGCACATGACATACACAGCATACCATAGTATTTAGGGACAATCCGTCGATATACACTAGAAGACACTGATTTATAGGTTAATAGTAGACTTGAATAGTAACAGTGAGTAGTAACAGTGAGGCTGAAGCTGCAGCTGAATGTGTCAATTATACATATCCTCGTGGCTACGGAGCCGAATACTACATGTACGTGTATTTGCCAATCGTTTGTCAGAGTAGTAAACCGCGCGCTTCGTATAATTACCAGCAAGACGGTAGCGAGCCCCCCATATATCTCCTTCTATATGTATAGAATCGCACCTGTCCTTGGCGTTGGCTGCTCTGACGTATTTCTATTGACCATATTTTGTCTTGATAAGGCTGGTATTTACCCCTTACCAAGACGTTTCTCCTAACCTACAATATTTCTTAACAGCTCTTTTAATTACGAGGGATTCAACATATCTACCTCCTTCCTAAGCATTGCTTTTAATTTGTGTATGCCTCTGTTCAATGCATTAATTCCTTGATTTAGCTTCTTATAGTTATTCCATCTAACTAGAATTTATGGAACTTCGTGTTAATGCAACCTTGAAAGACAATGCAATTCTCACATTTAATAAATGCATATATACGTTAGATGGATATCCACAGAAAGAGGTGGGGCTCGACACGGGTCAACGCGCCTGTTCATGGGAAACGACCTTCTTTACATAGGATGAAAATCAAAATAATGGAAGGCACACACTCGATCTTACATAAGTTGATCTGCTATAGTCCGACTAACTTAGCGACAGTTAACTTTCTCGAAAACATCGAGGTTACAAAAAACTAGCGCTTTCTTCGTGAGATCAGCCTTGCAAGTGATGGCCGCTTGTAGACGGAGAATACCTACAATAACCAAGCTTATAGCGACAAACCCGAGATAACAGATACTTGGGCGTTCTATTTTCGCTGGAAACAATAATAATCAACAATAATAATCCATAGAAAACAACGGCACCATGTCTCGCTTTCTCAACCCGGCCAAAATTGGCCTCCTTGCGCTGATCGAATTGTATACAAAAAAGGCAGTTCCTACAGATTCTATCGTGGATGTGCTATCCTTCATAACTTCTCACTTGATCGACAGCGATGCTCAAGCTTCGTTTTCTACCCCTAAGGGCCGGTGGAAACGAGCTGAAACTACTGTCAGCCTAGTCATCTCTATTGCAGACTTTGAGAAGGTCCTAGCACCACATACCGCTGCTTCTGGCATGCCTGGCCGCAGTCTATGGTATGTCTTCCTAGACAGGCTTTGGAAGATCGACTCGCTCGATTCATTACATGAATTTTTCGACCACTGCTCGGATCTGTTGGCAAAGACGAGGGATGAACTGCGTCGTGATGCTGAGTTGGGCATTCCAGCCCCAGCTCCCGAAGTCATATTGCTCTCTCGTAACTCGCCGTTCGGTGCATTCGTACGCAGGTCTCAGCTCGAATTCACAAGATTACGTTTCCACGACGCATTCGAGTTATGGAAGGACTTTGTTAAATATCGCCAGGTTACGGCGACATATTACAGGAAAAAGACGCCATCCTTTCAGAGGCTCAGTTTCGATAATGTCCTCTTAACCGGGGAGAGCGACTGGGGCTCGGGGGTTGAGGCCATTGCCTCTGTGACTTACGGGGATATGCTTAGAGATGATCCAAATTCGACTTTACCTGTCAGCACCGACGACATCGAGAAGCTCTTGGAGTTCCAGATCGAGCAGATGCAAAAATATGGCAACAGAGTACCCTTAGAGATACAACACCAATTTCACGACCTATTAAACGACAGCTTTATGATACCAAGCCTATCCCACTACTTAAGCTATTTAGATGCATGGAGAGCAGGGGACTACTCTACCTCCTTCGATTATTTGCATCGGTATTTTGACTACACGATGCAGAACAGGGACAGGTCTTTCTATCAGTACGCGCTGATGAATCTAGCAGTACTCCAAGCTGACTTTGGGTGCTACAAGGAAGCAATTTCAGCGATGCTAGAAACTGTCTCTACTGCCAGGGAGAACCGAGATATGACGTGTCTAAATTTCGCTCTTAACTGGCTTTTTCACTTTGGCAGAGCACATCCCGGAATAACTAAGGAGTTAGAGTCGAGTAGCATGCTCGGCACTGGCAAGGAATCCCTAGCTTTCCTTAGAAGCAGAGCAAAGGAGACAGGCATGTGGACGTTGTGGAGTTCTACACTTATGAGCGAGGCAAAGATGAGCCTTTCGAATGGCGAAAGCGTAGCCACGGCGATCGAGCATCTCGTCAGAAGCTCCCAAATTCTGGTCGAACGCAATATGAGGAACATGGTCGGTTCTCAACTATCGATAAATATAGCATTATGGGACAGATTAGGAATCGCCTATCTGTCAGTAACTGCCTGCGAAATATTTATTCGCTGCCATGCTCGTAATTCAATATTTGACGACGAGCTAAAGGTAACGAGCCGCCAGGCTTCAATGCTTACCCTCAGGGGGAAGTATGATGAGGCGCTTGGGATATTAGAAGGTATGGATGCAAATTCACTCCGAGCTTGGAAGCCAAGTCAATATTGGCACAAGTTCCGTGGTATAATAAAGTTGAGAAGAGATCTCCATCGAAATAATCTCGATGGGGCGGAACTGCTACTCTCCCAGCTTCTTCAGTCTAAGGATGATGATCTAGAACCCGACCTTGCCTTTGTGATTGACAGCCTTCATATCGAATGCCTTGTTCGTAGAGGCAATCTCGACCAAGCTTTTTCAAAAGTAGAGAAAATGATTTCGGAACTTCGAGACGAGAACAAAGATATTGCACTGCGGGTTCGGTTACTCCTTATCAAAGCTGAGCTTCTTGATAAGTGTGGCCAACCGCAGAAAGGATTTACTATTGCCGTACGGGCAGCAAATGTGGCCTGGCGAGCCCGCCTCATCCCCTATCTATGGCCGGCAATAGGAGCTATTGCGAATATATTGACATCGCTTGGGGAGTTCGATCCAGCCATCCAGCTCCTAAATGCAATCCTGCCGCGCATTTTCGAGTGCGAGAATGCGACAATAACTGCAAAACTCTATTCGCATCTTGGCGATGCTAATATGGGTATGGCAGGCAAGATGCCGCCAAAGTCTATCAAGAGAAGAGAATTCATGACAAAGGCATTGGAGGCAATCGAAAAAGCGTTTAATCATTACTCGAGCATCGAAGATATAGATAAACAGTGCGAGATGATGGCTAAGAAAGCTACGATTATGAAGGTCTCTGGGGATAACGTGCTTGCGAATGATTACGCGGCAGCATACTTGGCGATACGCAGAGATGCCGAACGGATGACGATATGAAGGAACATATAGGCTAGTTAGCTTCTAATGACTAAAATATTGATAATTTATATGACTGGGGCGTAACTAGTAGCTTTCTACTTCGTCGAACTGTCCAATAAATAGGGGGAAGAGACTTCTCAAAAATGCCTAGAATTCAATCGAGGCTGAAAGGGGTTAAGGTTGTCGACATACTGCAGAACCTACCATTCATGTCCTCCCTAACCCTCAAAGGGAGAAAACATATCCAGAGTTGCTGATTTATCAAGAGCATCGGGCGTGACTATAACCAGTGATCTCATCTAGCCGTATTTCTCGTTGATGTACACTTACTTATCTGCTATTATTATGCGTCAGTCCCGCGTTTTCCCACCAGAAATCACAATTTTTATATAGCTATTAAAAAGCGAACAAAAATGGAAGAATTACGAATTACGAATTGTCAATGATGAGATTGATTTAGATTCAAAATACCAGTCTTCATTTTGAAATTAGCCTTTATTTATTTATTGTCTTTTATATGAGCAAAAGGTACAAGTAATACGGTTTCTATCCAACCATGGCTTTTATTTATTTATTTAAAGATATTAGAATTTGTAACTTTATTTACGTTCTATTCCTTCCAGTAGTTATCTCTATTTCGACTCGAGTTTGAAATGGGATAACTTAGGTACCTAACCTAGGTAAGTTATATTCTTCCCTACCTTTTCCTTTGCCTTTCTCTTTCTATATAACCACCTAGTCTTATGAAACAAGCGAGTTTTAGTTAGGGAAGTTAGGGGGACTGGCGGCATTGCTCGTGCACCAACAGTTGGTGCATATCGGGATCTGAGGCGTTCTTACCGTGTCGTCCGAGCCTAGGATGCCGTCCTTACAGCACCCTGCCGGACGCCCCTTTCTTTTAACTTGTTCGCACAGGGCGGGCCTTCGTCGGGCGTGGCCGATGTGGTGGTGTCCGTGGATGCACCATGCTGCTGCCCAGACTAGATTGCACATGTTGGGTGTATGGGAGACGGGTTGGTGGTGTGATGGGTGTTGGCTTTGGTGATCTGATGATGCTGATGATGCTGTGAGGTTAGAGAAGGCACTACGAGGCTGTCCGTGACAAGAGAAAACGATGGTCTAGAAGGAATATATATGACTGACACCCCTCATACCGCTCGTCCTTTGAAGTTATTATAAAGCCACCTTGTTACCTTGTTATCCGAATACCGCTGCAGCACAATTCGCTTGTTTAAGATATAGATTCTGCTGGCCTTTGATCGACGGGCTCCTTTCTGGATTACAAATCCATTGTCACTACTGAAATTCGAATAGTATGGTTCTTAAGAAGGTTGTCTTTCTTAGGTTTGTACATGTGCGTACGGCTAGGCTACCCCCCCCCCCCCTTTTGGTGCCAGTCGCAAGACATAGATCTTTGAATATGATCCTTTTGCGTTCAACGATATTCGTATTCGTTAGTTTTAGCCCGTTTGTAACGGCGATAGTACCTTCGTATCCAGTACTGTATAAGGTGTTGTCACTTGCAACACCTAGCTGAAATATAGCTGTTCATATGTTCAAAATATCCAACACATTCGCAGATTATTTATCGGCCCAGTTAATAAGCCGCCCCTTCTTATCCTTAAGTTGTCCTTCTCTGCTAACAGACGGCTCTACATGCTCGTCTCCCTCACTCATATCGTTGGTAGCCCACATCCTCTCAATGCACAATTCGAACGGCCCCGGCACGCGGTCCGTCAAGCCAATACCTATCGACCTAACTTTCTGCCGTAGAATCTCCGCCTGCGGCTCAACCATGAACCCGTGGTTCGTCCGCACGAAATCGTTCCACTTGATTATAACCGTCTCCCACTCCCCAGGTCGCTTGGCAAATAACCGATGCTGGTGCAAGTCTGTAGGTACAATTGACTCCGTCTGCACATTAACGAAGTAACTTCGCCCGTCGGATTTAATGCGCATGCCTAGATACGTATACATGTCGATGTTCCAGAGCGCGCGGCCGAAGATGGTCGGGGGCTTATCGAGGGTTCGCCATGCGGCGTAGCCGGATCGCTGGACCTCGGGTCTGTGGGGGGGAAGGGCAGTTGATATGTTGCCGTGGAAGCGCGCGTAGCCGTGGGTGTTGTCCCCGGGGGAAGGGGGTATCCAATCCAGCGCAGCCTTAGAGAACCCGCCGATGTCGACGTCGGACATCAACTTGCACTCCTCGAGGGAATCGGGCTTGTGGAAGTCATGGAGGGGAAGCGGACCCGAGGGTCCTTTTATGCCTTCAAGATTTAATGCTGTAGAATGTTAATACGAGTTAGGTAGTTTTATGCAAATATGAACTGTATGGGAACATACCTATATTTGAGAGGCGCTTGAATTCGTCGAGACTGCGGCCCAGGAAACCCTTGCTCAGACAAGCCGTTGTGGCGCGCATTGTGATATGAGGGTACGCAAAGTAATTTTAGAATTAATTAAGGAAATAAGATGAGCCAAAAGGCTCGGACATCAGCGTTGACATCTGCAGCAGGGATTTAGAGTCTGTAATAGTATGTCCAAAACGAAGCCATCGAGGTGGGAGTTGTGCTAGGAAGAACTTAGTAAGAAGTTCTTAACCTAGGTAGTAACTAACCTAGGTAACTAACTATTGAAAAGTCGAAGCTTTCGTCACTAAAAAGCTCCTAGATGCATTATTTGGCGGCGGGATTGCTATAACTAGTAGTTCTACCTAAGAGAGTTTAATATGCAACTAAGCACTAAGCTGTAAGAATTTAAGTTGCTGCCTGCAGGTGCCCGTCAAATGCCCAGCCGCACTCGCCGCGCGTTATGTGGCGATCAAAGGCTGATACCCCACAAGTACATGATCGGATAAACCACGGAGGTTAGACGATAGGGAGTGGAGAGTTTTAAGACCCATGTCCCTTTTAATGCTTATCGAATGGTTCCAAGACCACATGCAGCTTCTACAGCTTCTACAGCTTCCAAGAGCCTAAGTTGCGTCAGCCTCAGATTGAATCTTTTGGCTTTAACTCCACAGAGTTTGCTGCTTGTGGGAGTTGCGATTGCGATTGCGAGGACGTCGACGTTGACGTTGTACGAGTCAGATATCAAATTTTTGAACATTTGGCATATTAAACGTACTGGGTCCCTAATTCAACCACATACGCGACATTCCTTCTCTATATTATACTATACCTCCTGAAGACCGGGTGGGTGGGATGCGCTGTACTTGAGAGTAGCTGTCACTTGAGTCTAAAGCTTCATCCCAACTCCTGATTCACCTGTCCAAACCCGTGAGAACAAAGCATTCATCAGTAGCAGAGGACGAATAGCAAACAGCAAACGGCGAACACAGTGACTCATTCACTATGGCTACGATCCGTAGTCTTGATCATTCAAAGTCCGTACTCCCCCCCCCCTTTTCGAACCTCCCTTTCCGCGAAGCGCATGTGGATCAATCATTCGCACTCATCTTAATCATGAGCATGGACTTCACCGTCGGTTGTTGTGTAGCTGCTAACCACCTAGAGTATAGATCCGAAGCGGAGCTCGCCATCAACATTAGAAAAGCTACAAGCCCGGAAGAAACAGCGCCGAAACGAAAGCATGTACGAAGCGCCATCGTATACACATGGGACCACAAGTCCTCCCAGTCCTTCTGGGCTGGTATGAAAGTGTACGTGGCTAGATACCAACGTATAGAAGTGGAATCTGACCAGGGGTGTATCTAGGCAGCCTATTCTTGCCGACGAAGTGCAAACGTTCAAGGCCCTGATCACCATCCACAGAGTCTTGCAGGAAGGGCACCCTCAGACGTTGAGGGAGGCTATGGCAAATCGACCTTGGATCGATAGTCTTAATAGAGGTCTAGCCGGCGAGGGTGTTCGAGGATATGGACCCCTGATTCGAGAATACGTCTACTTCCTCCTAGCAAAACTATCGTTCCACCAACAGCACCCCGAGTTCAACGGCACGTTCGAATATGAGGAATATGTCAGCTTGAAGGCGATTAATGATCCCAATGAGGGCTACGAGACTATTACCGACCTTATGTCGCTCCAGGACAAGATCGAGCAGTTTCAGAAGCTGATCTTTTCACATTTCCGAAATGTTGGCAACAATGAGTGTAGAATTTCCGCTATTGTCCCTCTGGTGCAAGAAAGCTATGGAATCTACAAATTCATCACAAGCATGCTAAGAGCTATGCATTCAAGTATGGCAACTACAAAATATTAGTGGTATTCTCAACTAACGTTGCGTAGCAACGGGCGATAACGACGCATTGGAACCCCTGAGGCAGCGTTACGATGCGCAGCACTACCGATTAGTCAAGTTCTATTACGAATGCTCGAACTTGCGTTACTTGACCAGTTTAATTACGATCCCGAAACTACCACAAGATCCACCCAACTTGCTAGCAGAAGACGAAAATGCCCCTGCATTACCAGCCCGCCCAAAGCAAGAGATCGAGCGCCAACCGACCCCTGTACGCCAGCCGAAGTCCGAGGAACCCGATGAGATTGCCGAGTTCTGGCAGGGTGAGATTGATCGGCAAAATAAGGAGTATGAGGAACAGCAAAGGGTATTGCAAGAGCGTCAAGCAGCGGCCCTCCGCGCTCAGCAAGAAGCGCAAATGCAAGCTCAGCGAGATTTTGAGGAGCAGCAAAGGCTTCTAGCAGAGCAACAACGTAGGGAACAAGAAGCACTAATGGCTCAACAAGCCCAATGGCAAACACAAGGGAGGCTGGCCGAACTTGAGCAAGAAAATCTAAATGCGCGGGCGCAATACGAGCGTGATCAACTAATGCTGCAACAATATGACCAACGAGTGAAGGCACTTGAGGGAGAGCTAGCCCAAATCCAGAACAACTTTGGTCAACAAGTTAACAGCAAGGATGACCAAATCCGCGCCCTACAAGAGCAAGTCAACACATGGCGAACCAAGTACGAGGCCTTAGCAAAGCTATACTCGCAGCTACGCCACGAGCATCTCGATTTACTTCAGAAATTCAAGACGGTCCAACTAAAAGCGGCGTCGGCCCAAGAAGCTATCGAGAAGCGCGAGAAGCTAGAGCGTGAAATCAAGACGAAGAACTTAGAATTGGCAGATATGATTCGGGAGCGAGACCGAGCACTTCACGACAAGGATAGGTTGAGCGGCAGTAACAGGGATGAGGTCGAAAAGCTGAAGCGAGAACTTCGTATGGCAAATGACAGAGCCGACAACCTCGAGCGAAGCAAAGGCAACGAGCTGTCCACTATGCTCTCCAAGTATAACAGGGAGATGGCAGACTTGGAAGAAGCTCTGCGAACCAAGTCGCGCGCTCTGGAAGAAGCACAGGCTAAGCTACAAGACGGTAGCTCAGACCTCGAGCAATTACTTCGCGAGAAGGAGGAAGAACTTGAGGTTTACAAGGCTGGCATGGACCAGACTCTAATTGAGTTGAACGAGCTTAAGCTCAACCAAGGCGACACAGACAATGCCCTGGACGGCCAGATCGATGCTCTAATAATGGCGAACCTTGACAAGATCAACGACATTATCGACTCGGTACTGCAAGCAGGTGTAGTCCGAGTAGACGACGCGCTCTACGAATTAGACTCGACGATGCAGGCTGGTAACCAGAATGCTTCGCCAACATATATGCTGTCCCAGGTCGAAAAGGCTGTGGCGAGCGCCTCAGAATTTGCTACCACTTTCAGCAACTTCATCGCCGATGGTCCTAATGCTACTCATGCAGAGTTAATCAAGGCGACCAACGTCTTTGCAGGGGCTATAGCAGATGTATGCAGCAATACAAAGGGTCTGAATCGTCTTGCTTCCGACGAAAAGAAGTCGGATCAGCTTCTCAATGGCGCTCGCGCTGCCGCCCAGTCTACTGTCAAACATCTCCGTAGCCTTCAAAGCTTCAGGCTAGAAGGCATGGATCCTCTACAAAAGACTGACGTTCTTGTGAACGGTAGCAGCGATGTTCGTCTAAATCTGCAGAGGTTGACTACCCTAGTTGAGACCTTTGCTCCCTCTGGTCGACTAGCGAACAATAAGGGCGATCTAGGCGACCTTGTCGACTCCGAACTAAGCAAGGCGGCCGATGCCATTGCGGCAGCGGCCGCTCGCCTTGCTAAACTCAAGAACAAACCCCGCGACGGATACTCGACCTACGAACTCAAGGTTCACGACTCATTACTCGATGCTGCGACAGCGGTTACCAATGCTATTGCTCAGTTGATCAAGGCAGCTACCGTTACACAGCAAGAGATCGTCCAGGCAGGTCGGGGAAGTTCCTCGAGGACGGCTTTCTACAAGAAGAACAACCGATGGACGGAGGGTCTCATCTCAGCCGCAAAGGCTGTGGCCACGTCGACCAACACACTCATCGAGACAGCAGACGGTGTGCTATCTGGTCGCAACAGCCCCGAGCAACTTATTGTCGCTTCGAACGACGTAGCCGCCTCGACAGCTCAGCTTGTGGCCGCCAGCCGTGTCAAGGCCGGCTTCATGAGCAAGAGCCAGGAGAGCCTCGAGCAGGCCAGCAAGGCGGTAGGCGCGGCTTGCAGAGCGCTTGTGCGACAGGTGCAAGCCATGATCAAAGACCGAAACCAAGACGACGAGGGGGTCGATTACGCCAAGCTCAACCCGCACGAGTTCAAGGTTCGGGAGATGGAGCAACAAGTGAGTCTTGATAATTATATTATTACTATGCGGATTTGGTGTGCAGCGGCTAACCACAGTCACAAATATAGGTCGAGATTCTACAGCTCGAAAACGCGCTGGCTTCCGCGCGACACCGGTTAGGCGAGATGCGCAAGATCTCGTACCAGGAGGACTAGAGAAAGCACGAGAGCAGGAGCAGACTGAAGGGAGGAGGGGAGGAGAGGTTATACCCCTGTCAGTTAGTTGTTAGTTGCCAAGTCGTTGGCCAGATTATCTTTGCTGTGTTTGGCGAATGATTTTTTATCTTCTTTTTCGTCTTGGAAGCAGGCTGGTTGAATGTAGTGAACAGACAAGCAAGTAACCTAGTAGCATATTCGAAAGATGGCAGATCGATTGTGGACTTTGTACAAAATTGCTACCCCCTAAGGCAGGCAGGCTGGTGGGCTGCGATCTAAATTAGCTTAACCTTAGGTAGGTAATTTGATCACCGGCGGTTGAGTTTTAACTGTGAGCTTTGAAGATTTAGTTTGTGTGAGGGGGTGTGACTAGGTTAGGTGATTAATGGTGGTGTGTATGTTGTTTTTGTTAATGAGGGGGGGATGATATTAGAGTGGAGAGTGGGTGTAGAAGTAGGAGTAGTCACGAGAGGAGTATAATAATATTGTCGAAAAATATATCGTAAAATGCTGGGTGGTAAATATACTGGGGTTGTATATTGATACCAATTCCTTGATTTATTTATTTTTACCTGTTAGTTTTATTTTCTCACTTATGCGTAATGCTTCTAGGTATAATACCCCATCAGCCTGGAAGTAATAGTATACTGAGTTACGGGTTCGCTTATATTCGGGACCCTTATAAGCCAGAGACAATATCCTTACTACCTAGCTTTGGGAGCTAGTATTCCTAATACCTTTAATACCTAATTAGGTACCCAGGAAATCACCTACTCATCAACCAGAAGAGCAATCAGCCAGCCAGACCCCTCCCTTCACGTTACGACGCGTCCCATGATAATGGCTGGGGACATTAGCAACACTACGCCTATGTCTTTCCCGTGAACCTCGCGTTGAGCGGGTAAGTCTTCGCTTCCTGCTCAGGTTTCTTAGCTTCCCCTTGCTTCGAGGTTTCTGCTTTAGTAAGTTGAGGTGCATCCGAACCAATTTGAGACTGCAGATCTGTTCGTCGAGGAGGCTTTCTTGAACCCGATAGCGCGCTAAGTGGCGGGTCCTTTACAGCGGGATCATCGTCACTGGGAAGCGTCACTTCTACAAGGCTATAAAAGTACTCGAGTGTCTCAGGAAACGATTGGACAGCAGACCTCCAGCTAGCGTTGACTTGCTCCTTTATTGGCGGCATGTGACCTTCTACCGCCTCCCTCATACTTCCTTGTTCGCTAGAATTCTTCGCGGCGGTTTCTTGACGTTCGTACATGTCTCTCGAGAAGCTTTCTTGTACGAAATCTTGAGCGTGACTGCGAACCCATGCCCGGATGTCGTTGTACATCGGAGACATTATCCTGGATTCGACTCGCTTAATGGCTATTTCCACACCCTTAGCCTCGCAATCGCATTCGAGATGTGCAGGCGCATGGCAGATTGCACAATCTGGACCCATCCTTATAATAGATTTGCGAGGCTTATGTACCCGTGACTTTAAGACACTTTTAGAGCTACCTGGCTGAGTATCATTGTCATGGCTACTCTCATGGCTACTCTGACCGGACAGGTATCGAATCGCAGACTCCAGAGTTTTCGAATTGGCCCTTTCGCGCTCGGTGGTACCCTGAAACGCTGAATCTATCTCTGCTGGTTTTTTCTTCGTCGTACCCTTCTCAGAGTCTTCGTCTATTAATTCTAGCGGTGCCAGAGCTGTGCGACTCATTCTGTACTGACCGATATTAATTGGAAGGGGAGGAGGTGATGATGGTGGTGGCCACTGATTCTGCCCGCCTGGATCATCGACAGCCGCCAGTATATGATCAAATGACTTGCCGTACTTCAAGTTTTGAGGATACCCGTCGTCATGATTGGTGGCATTATTCTGGTAGGTGACAATATCATCTTGGGGGAATAAGGGAAACCATGGTTCATTGTCATTGCTAGCAAAATCTGGATACTCTTCATAATTATAGCTAGTGGAAACTTCCTGATTAGAAGCTAAAGAAGGCGGTGGGCAGTTACTATCGTTGATATTTCCCGTGGTAACTGGAGAACTACTAAAATGACGAAACTCGGGAGGCCCGGTGTATGTAGGAGGGAAAGTAAAGTCACTGAAAGCGCTGGTCGGGAGTTCCTTGGTTTCGTTTGGCGCATCCGAAGGGTTCATCGGTAAAACATTAGGCCTCGAGAAAGATTTACCGATTGTCCCATAATCATACTTGACAAGAAACTTTTGAAGAATGGGGTCATCTTTGAGACTCCTGAATGCTCCATGTTTGTTAGGAATAAAACCCCACTCGAATTCCAGTCTCTCTGTATCCGGCACTCCATCAAATAAAGACCCCTCGACAAATTCTAAAGAGGGATCAGCGGAGTGGTTGAACAGAAGCCTTTCCTCGTCAGGTGGAGGAGGAAATTCGTTAGGAGACGCGGTGTTACCGGGCGAAGCCTTGTTTTTCGAATCTTCCTCGGCATGTACAGTATGGTACTTAGATATGTAAGAATGAAACCCTCCATAGGGCGCGTATTTGCTCCGAAGTTCCGGGGCGTCCCATAGAAAGGAACGCCAGCTTTCGCCGTTGGCCTCGCCAATATCTTCGAGTGTTCCTAAACTACGTCCCTTGAGTTCGCTCTCGACTGTGCTTCTCCTGCTCTGTGCTCTTGAAGCACTCGAGCCGCCTTTTTGGCTTCCCTCGTCTTCCAGCCCTTCCTCTTCGTATGTAGGCAGAGACTTTAGAGCAAGAAACCGTAGATGGCCAACGATATGATTATCCATGGTGCCGTCGACCTCTTCCTTTCCACATAGCGGACAAGATCTAAATAGAGGACCAATTACTCGACCGTTTCTATCGATTAAAGCTTGAAGTTGTGCATCAGAGAATTTGCCTTTGTGCGTGGTCTTCATGTGTGTGAGATAATCATCTCTGGACTCGCAAACAAATTGCCCATGGGACTTCGATGTACAGCGCCAGCGCATGGCATGCTCGCGCATATGTTTAAGCCAGGCGCTACTGTGCACGTATAATTCGTGAGATAAGCTGCAGTCCTCGAACAGACATACATACGCATCGAGGTCATTTTTGACGTGTAGCCTGCGGAGTAAATGTTAGCGTTTGTTGTAGGCATACGCATTTTACCTACCTAAGGTAGGTACATAGTATCGCAATAATCTTTAGTAGGGTAGAGTTCACTTCATAGCAATGGCAACTAACCTCCATTTGTTATCATCTATCACGTCCTCTGCTGGGAGGGCATAAAAGCAGAACGGACAGGTTACCTCCCCTACAGCCTTTATCATTTCTTCTATTTCCTTGGTTTTCTCTTTCAATGCTGAATTAAGAGACTTTAGTTTATCTCCGCTATTCGGGGAGTCGAGATTGTGTTTGTCAATTTCTTCTCGTTGTCTTATAGTTTCGTTGTATTTCCGTTTTAGACTGCCGAGAGGAGCTGGAGGGAATGTAAGTTCTTCGTGATTACTTAACGCTACAGTCTTCGACATAGAGACCACGGATGGAGCCGAGGCCTTTTGAAAGTTACTAGGGGCCAATGTGGTGGCACTCTGCGCTACGGATTGTATGGCACTTTTGGATGCATCCCCGGCTTGGGGTCCTTCAGATACCTGTGGCTGCTCTGCCATACGAATCTTGAGTTGGACTTTGGGTACAGTGACCGGAGGTTGAGAGGGAGTCTCTTGAAGTCTGATGGGAGTATCTCCGTAGCGAGATCTCCTGTAAAGAATTCGTTTTCGTCGCAGTACCATAGTTTCGGCGAGACGTTGACAAATACTGTCGCTAGCCCCTGGAAATTTGTCTCGAATATGGTTAACAAACAACTTCGTTATAAAGTCCTCGGTGTCGTTCCCTTCGTCATCGCGGATTCGAAATGAGTCTGCCGCTTTGAGGTTCTGGGCCGCTTTGCTTGCTCTACGAATGGTGTTTGAAAATCTATGGAGTAAACTTATTTCATTGGCGATTCCTTGGATTGATTGCTGGAACTTAGGGTCGACCTCTACCAAGAGCTGACTGGACTCTTGAGCTACCCTAGAACTAAGGGGCTCAAGACTACTCCAACCTGTATATATAATTAGTCTTTCATTTTCTTATAGTGTGTGTGGTCGTAGTGTATCGACTAAGATTATACTCAAAGAAATGCTAAGGGCCTTCTATTAAGGCGGATCCAGAGAGGTAGCTATTCGCTTACAGCCACCGAAGAGGTTCCCGCCATCAGAATATGAGATATCCTCATTTACTCCCATCGATGGCCTATTGAAAATAAAGTAGTCCTTCGTAAGGCTAGAAATCATGAAAAATCCGGCTTACAGCTCTGGACGCGGAAAGCCAGTGCATCAAGAAGACCGATAACAGCATCTTGAACATCAGGAGCCTCACGCAGGCGATGATCTAACGCCGCTCGACCTGGTGCAAATACCCTGATATTAGTCGTCCAAATAGAAAACCTTGCTAGCTGGTCTTCTACAAGTGAAAGCTCTCGTGGGTGGATATATGCTGCTCTTTGAACGCATTGCTGGAAAGAGCGCAGACACGATGCGGCGCTTTCAGCTACTGTAGGATGCGGTTGCTGATCAACAACGGCGTCAGTGGCCGTCGCCGCCATTCTAGTTAACAGTTGTGTAGAAAAGACCGTGTAATGGCATTTTATCCGTCCGTAATGATAGGTAGTTGGTAGTGAAAGAGTTGCGAGATGAACATGACGAAGCGGGGCGTTGTAAGTGTATAAGTGTATAGAGGTAACTACTACCTATTAGGTTAGTATATAGGTACCTCCTAATTTAACAGAATTGTGCTTATCGCTCATGAGAATATGGTAGAAGGTACGAAGTACTAAGCGATGTCGTGCATGCCTATATTATGTACATACATCTATGCAGGCAGGCCCTATAGATGCTATAAATGGACGGTGAATAAGCTGAACTTGCCATTCTTACAGCAACATACAGCAACATCATCACGTGGTAGCATTTGTCCCTCATCTTACACCCGAAAACACGGCGCTGATCCGAACAACACTTCTCGCCGTTAGTGAAACCATCCGGAATATACCCTGAGCGCCATATTTATGGACAAACAAGTAGCGGAGGTATACGGAGCTATGAAGCCGGAGCGCTAAAATTACCATCGATACGTATTCGCTCGAGATGTCTAAACTCGCCAGTGGCCGGTGATATCTTAATATCTTACCTAATTTATAACTTAATTAACTATTAGGTATTGGGATCGGTATCTGATCTGATGCCATTCCAGTTCAAAGCAAGATGATGTCAACGATTTCTATCACTACCAGGGATATTAATACCATCAATCTGCTAGTAACCACTTCCAAGACGATCCAGGAGATTGCGAAAATCCTGCGGCTTCGTGAAAACGATGGAGATCTCAAGGTCTTTTATGCCGATTTGACGGCGTACTGTGCTATGATACGTGACCACGCAAACCGCATTCACAGAGCTGGCATTAGAATCGCTGATAAGTATCTGGACCGAATCTTAGCCCATCTCGGCTCAACGTTGTCATCTCATAAACTGCTAAGGCAATCTGCCTGCGGAACCTCATCTTACACGAGGCTGCTCATATTCAATCAGAGCTGGGAGCAAATACGGAAAGCTGATGATGGCACAAAACTCCAATTCATCAAGAATTCTCTCAGCTTTGGTACCTCTACAATTGAGCGCAATGAATTTATCGAGGCACTGGCCTTGTGGGAAGAAGACTTCCGAAGACAATACCCCGATGACCCATCACAATGGACAGCTGAGGACTTCGCACCCCAGAGAAATATTAGCGAACCATCCTATGCTGTCTGGAGTGCTGCCAAATCAATCTTCTCGGCACTTATGGCATGTAAGAACTGCTCGTGCCCATCCACGCATGATTTCGGGGCTAGGCTTTCTTTGGGTACTTATCGAAAACCTGCTTCAGACGACGACACTGAGGAAGATGTCGACTTTGACATGTTCCTGTCTATGAAGCAGGACTGGCAAGAAGCCCGAGTTCATACTATGAAAGAAACAGTTGTCCAATGGGCGATTGATGACGAGGCACATAACACCCAAACCAAGAGGAAAAAATCACAGACCCCAGCGATGAGGGTAAAACGGTTATGTGAACCGATCGTAAAGATCAAGAAGATGACGGCACATCGACTGGAATTCAAAGTTACGCGAGGCCGTTTATACAAGTTACAATCGGAGAGGAGCCAATTCTTAGCCGACAAGACGAAAGACGCCGTAACTCTCGAACAATTCCTCAGGGGTGGGTCGCGCTCATTCACCGAGAGGACAAGACGAATCCTTGCCATACTTCTTAGTTATGCAGTTCTTCATCTTCACGACACGCCATGGCTCAAACCAACCTGGAATTCCTCAGACATCATCTTCTTTCGTACCGCTACTACCGCAATCCCATTAAGGCCTTTCATCCAAACCCGGCTCTCTGATCTAGAAACAAACTCAAGCCTCCTCGACCACTGCGTCAAAAGCAATGGGGGATGCGAACAAGAAAATTACGAATGCAGTGATATAGATCCAGATGATATCGACCCAGACGATCTAGTACGACACCAATGCCCGAGTCTTGTCACATTGGCAGCAATGCTAATGGAGGTTTATTTCGTGACTCCATTCGAGATATTGGCTAAGAAGTACGGCGTTGAGTTAGAAGAGGAATCATCGAGCCGCACGACGTATTTGGACGTAGATATGGTCTTTCGCGCTTGTAGAGACGAGATCCCCGAGAATTTTCAATTTCATTCTGCCGTGGAGAGGTGTCTGGATCCGACAACGTGGGAAGACGAAGATGGAAACAAATTAGACGACAAGATTTTAAGAACCAGGATATATCAGGAGGTAGTACGACCACTCGAAAATGAATTAATACAAACCTACAGCTCAATCTCCATTGACGACCTTGATCGGTTTGCGCAGACGATAGATTTTGGAAGCTGGGACCAGACAATCTCGGATCTGTGCGAGCAAACCCAATCAACTCGCGTATTGAGCCCAAGCGAGACGGTAGATAGTCTCTATTCGTGTAGCCCTTCGCCGGAACCATCGCTACAACACTACCCTCGCCATATCAATCCTCTTACGAATTTCCAGCATCAAAATGCATTGCTATGGGCTCATAAACTCGGGCCTTATTCCCACCCCACACATAATCTATCTCTACCCTCTTTGACGGATCAGGACGTCTACTACAAGGAATCGAGGTTCTTTGATGATGAGACCATTTCGGAGGCACACTCTCCTGAAGCGTATGTCAACCACCCATGAGTTACTTCTCTCTCATTATCTAGTGCGCGGACTGACGATGCTCCTTTCTAGATGTTCAAACTACCTGAGCTGGAAGTTCAGGTACCAAGCAGTTTACGACAAGTTTATTACACCTTTCGCTTCGTCGTTGGCATTTCCGCCCGTTAAAATTGCGATTCTTGACACGGGCATTGATCTCACTCACCCGGACGTAGAAGCTCGTAGCGATAGCATCAAAGGCAAGTACAATTTGCTTAATGAGAAGTTCAAAAATAGAGTTCATGATCGGAATGGGCATGGCACATTTGGCTTCGGTCTACTCCTTGATTATGCGCCAGATGCTCAGTTGTACGTAGCAAAGATTGCGGAGGATAAGCCGTCTAACCCTAGGGTTATCGCAGAGGTAAATATCAACAACAATTACTCGCCATAAAAATTACTAACACGCTTAGGCCATTACCCTTGCCGTCGATACATGGAAGGTCGATGTCATCTCCATGTCTTTCGGATTCCCTACCTGCGACATAGAGGGCTATGATGAGCTCGAACTGGCTATTATGAATGCTTACTCGAAACATGTACTTCTTTTTGCTGCTGCTTCCAACAGCGGTGGCCAACGAGGCAGAGCGTAGTAAGTGTCTTCCAAAAAGCATAGCGAATTCCATGAAACTTAAGAGACCCAAGCACCCCATCACTTTGTAATCGTCTAACACTGGCTATCGCAGTCCCGCGCGAGAACAAAATGTGATCTGTATTAATTCTACAGATGCAAATGGTAACAGGTCTGGGTTTAGTCCTACTGCCGTCCCCGATGATATCAACTTAGCAACGGTGGGAGAGGCTGTAGAATCGGCATGGCCAGTTCATCTCTGCGATGATGTTTCAAATCCCTCTTGCATTAAGTACAAGTCCGGGACATCATACTCGACACCGATAGCCGCCGGTATTGCTGCATTTCTCTTACAATACGCACGGCTGCACTTGCCAGAGAAAGCAGACGCGTTGAAACGACAGAAACGGATGGAAGCCGTACTTCGACGTGTTGCAGAGAAAGGTCCATCTCACAAGACTCGAGATGAATACCATTTTATTGATCTTAGCTTATATGCTGACAGCCTGTTTGGCAAGGATAAAAGGTTTATTGACCTTACGATTGGTGATCTTTTGGTTAGTTGAAAAAATATATGGTTCCGAGGAGACAGTACATGCCTATCAGCCAAAAATAAGGGCATCTAGATCTTCTACTAGATCTCAATCTCTTACACGATGCTACGTTTAAATGTCAGCCTCCCTCCACTTCCGCGACTTATCTACTCTTCGTCCTCTCCACCTGTCCGTGGTGCGGAACAGCGCAGATGACGGGCACATCACCTTCCATCAACTCTTCCCTGGTGAAGCCTTCTTGTCCCACGTCTGGATCCATCTCTACTAAGATGGAAAGTACTGGAACTTCTAATATACCATGCACCCTTTCTAGCATAGCACCACGCTTATAATCCTCATCCTTGCTCACGACTCCCGTTTTCTTCTCCACAAGAACCTTCCGGACTCGAAAAGCAAAGACGAAGTCACTGCTGCCTTCCCAGGACATGTCCGTATTCCTCCCATGATTCACCTCTGTCGTCGGCCCGCTGCTGATGGGAAGAGCTCCGCCGCTCCACACCGTGCCATCAACTTCGGTGCTTAGGCTTCCGCCTATGCCTCGGGACTTGAAAGACTTGGCTTTAGCACCCGTGACGGTCTTGATACCTGTGATTATATATATTGGCTTTCTGTAGCGAGATTTATCCAGGTACCGACGAACGGGCTCAGCTTCAATGCATCGTTGGAGATAATCTTTGTTCGGGAAGAATTGAGTGGTCTCAATCCGGTCGAAGCTAAATGCCTCTCCCTCACTACGAAGATGGTTAGTTTTACTTGAGTTATGATGTATGAACTATTATTATAGGAGGAAGAAATTAGGCGTCTCGAAGTGATGAGGTATATATAAGTCCTAAATTAAGGGACTTTTAGCGTCATGATTTTGATGGCCGGAGTAGCAGTAGCAATAGCAGTAGCAGTAGCAGTCTATGTATAAAACATCTACAGCTTAAAACACCGAGCACGGTGTTTATAAATCATGTCTACCTCCTATTTTAATCGACGGACATAGCGTAAGAAATCACCTAACCTTACCTAACATCCCAGCTTACACCAACATCTACTCCAACTCCAAGAAAACTTAGAAATTTCGTTAATATAGAAAATTGCCCCGAATTCAGCTTGTCGCGCGAGAATTCGACCTGGGTCTTCTCCGAGGAAAAGACATCGGCATCCGCCAATGGGGCTGCGGTACATAGTGGTCGCTCGGGTTTCTTAAGTGATGTGAGTACGTTGCCTAGCTTTATGGGCCCGTTGGGCGGATAGTCCCACGTAGGCGCGTAAAAGAAGTAGGAGGTTCGATTGGCCATGTATTGTTTATTAGCTGCTGCTGTTGGACCTTGGTTGAGGGAGGTAGATATGTGTACGTATAGTACAAAAGAGTTAAAATGCGGGGTTCTTGGTGTTTTTACGTTTATGTTCTAAATTAATAATCGGGAGACTTGAAATGGTATAAAACACAGGTAAGAAAAAGCATTGACATTAATATATTAGAAATATTGATAATTTTATAAAAAATTACTTTTAACAATGTTTATTATTATCAATTATAATAAAGGTTGCGGCCGAAAGTCTTGCGTACCTCATGTAATGCTAATGAAGGTATGTGCGAGCTTTTTTACTCGCACGGTATTGCTCAAGTTGTAATATGCGCAAGACTTTTGGCTCAACTCCAACCTTCGCGTCGACACAAAATAGATACTAACCTAGTCGGTATTACTTAAGCCCTTAAGTCTTTAAGTCAACATTAAAGGTTATTATCATACTTTAGTTGCGTGGCACTTTCTTTTAAAATAGAAGTACATGATATAGTACCTTCCCTATCTAAAGCATGGGCCATACATCTCAAAGTACATACCTATCTAGGTTACGCAGTAACACCTTCCAACTGCCACTGCTGTTACAGCTGCGGCAAGTGTCTTAGCAACAGGCAGTTGCAACCACAACTAAGCAACCGAATTGCTACTACATTAGAATTTCGTTTCAGACAAGAAGATAATTATTTCTTTTCTTTCTTCATAACAAATACAAAACAGTCAACTGACGCCACAACCACGCATCTCCAACAATGTTTTAATCAAAACTCTCGTACCTACATTTAACCTAGCTAATCAACAATCCCCGGTTCTTATCTTTCCAACCACCAGCGTACATATTATTCTAACAGACGCTCTATCAACTAACTCATATCCTTTTCAATTGGAACAACTCCTTAAAGACAATAAACTACAGAGCTGTTTACATACTTTGTCAAGGTGGCAGAGAACCTTCATCGCGATGGCAAATGGATCGAAGACTGCAAAGACTATTGGGTCGAGGCCATATGTATCGCCGACCCAAGGCCATGGTTCGACGACTCTATTGCTAGCACCAATATTCCCAATATTCGCATCGGGAGGCCAATTCTTCGGAATACCCTAAAAATTAGCAACGGGTTTTACAACCACCAGGTTAATCACTAATCACCACCAAGCAATCGTCTATCTCCCAAACAACACAATCGTACAGAAACCGCCCAACAACCAGCTAGCAACCTGCCAACTAAATCCCTTCGTTTTAATCAGTGTCAGTTACCAACAACGAACAACTCGTTCAAAACTTCAAATCTTAACAACAACGTCGCTTACGCCCTCACAACGACCTCGTGTCAATAATAATGCCGAACTTTATAGTACGCTATACCGGTATTTTACGAGGCACCTGTCCTTCCTAAGCGGGTCGGCGGGCAAACCTTGAATTCTTCTGCCGGGCGTTGGGCTGTGCTCTCTATGCGCTCGGCCTGGTATTAGTCGTCCAACTAAGAGATCACCAAACGATCCCAACGTTGTGGCAGAAAAGTACACCGAGTCCCTAGCATTATGTTTCATCGCATATAGCACGCTTAACCTACAACTCAACTTCCTCTAATTAACAAGGCAATCAACAGCATCCAAGCCCTCAGCAGAAGAACAAGTCAGACGACAGCGACGAGTTTGATGGGGACATTGATTCATACGAAAGAGGGCATTTGCTAGAATTTTTTCACCGGAAGACTCGAATCAGATGTGTCTCGGACGAAACAAATATATACAACGAACCGGTCGTTGGTTACTTGTTGGAGTCTGTGCGTTTAAATGGCTATCTGAAGTCAGCCAGAAGAACCTTGCCGTCGACCGCGGCGTCAAGCCAAGCTCAAGGCCGTCCCCGAGCTAGCAAACCTCGACTACGGATCTGCGGTACAGTCTAGCTTTAATTGATAGTAGCTCGGAGAAGATAGGGTATTGAGGGGACTGATCACGAGGGTTCTACTTGGCCCACTGTACCGAATACGTTAGGAAAGTACCCCAAGACTTTATGCAGATGGTAGATGGCAGGTTGTTTTGGGATGGGCGTCGGTTATGAAGAAGTTCTTGAAGATTTGATCTCCGAGACTACTTCGAGAGGGATATACCTACCTACCTTACAAGCCTACAAAGAAGATCCGAAGCTACGTCACCATAGACGAGGAAGAGGATGACGAGACTATGGAAGAGGTTCCACCAAAGACCTGGGCAGGCCAAACGGCATCGCCGACACCCACCCCGAAGAAAAAAGCGAGAATGCAAGTGCGAACACCTGGAGGAGCATGAATGACCGACGACAACATGGCTTTAGCTTGTACACAATGGCATAAACAAAGTGATGTGGACATCACAACTCTTTTGTGAAAGGGGGAGAAGACTTGATCTTCTTTTACAATAGAACTTCAAGTTTCCACTCATCATGACTCCTAGCATTAGGAACCTAAGTACTCTCTCTTCAAACACGCACACACGAAGAAGAGGCCTTCATGACAAACGATGTTAAGTAACTTTCCAAATTTAAAAGTAGCTAGGTCCTACCATCTAAAACTAAGAGAAAGTTCATATAGGTGATAACACCTGGACGGCTGATCAAACCAAGAAAGGATGGGCGTGAAGTTTAGTGTAATATACACGATCAGGGCGAAACTGCTGGCAGGATAAGAAGTTAACTCAGCTCTACATGTAGATGCAATACCTGATTTATACTAATCGGCTCTTCGACGAATCCCTTAAGTACCTAGGTAGGATGTTAAGCGATTATGCGCATCGAGATTACATGCAGGCATACACATCCTAACGAAAAGAACAACACAAGTAACATAAACACTGGTCGAAATAAGATAGAAATAGAGGCTCCATATAATCTAACATCACATCTCATCCGGTTTGCGACCCGTTCCAGTCGCTACTCCATATAAACGTCGGGCAACGCCACTGAGTCCCCTTCTCCTTCTCGCCCGACGGCCCAATGGGCCGGGCACAGACGAAGAATGACCTCCCTAGAAAGCAAATTAATATCACGATAGGTGAAAGTATACATTAGGTAGGTAGGTAGGTAGGTAGGTAGGTAGGTAGGTAGGTATGAAGCAATAACTTACCTCGATTGATGCCAGGTTTCTTGGTCACTATGCTAACGCAGTCCTCTCCGTGCTCGCATTTGGGCAGGACTCTTTTACCTAGCAACTTGGACCAGGATTCCTTGGATTCGATAGGATCAAAGACTCTATCTGGACTAAATCGCTTGGTGGCGTCTTTTACTTCTTCCGTGTTATTGGATTCTTTCGGTACTTCGGCTTCGAAAGTATTATTAACCTCACTAAGTGGTTTAGGATCCCCGTTTGCTTCTGGAATTGTACTCGGACTTGCGGTAGTCTTGGGTTTGAAAAAGCCCATAAGGCTGCTTTGCCCTTTAGACGAGGGCTCTTTGGTCAGAGTGGCTTTTGTTTTCTTCTGTGGTCTGCTGGCCGACACCGTGCTTGAGGATGTGCGTTTAAGAGCATCTGTCCGTGGTTTAGCTGGAGAAGGCGCTGAATTTACTGATCCAGGTTGTGAAGCGGGTGTTTCGACGGCCTCGTCTTTCGATAGCTCAATTTCGGCAAAACTGCCGCTGGGACTTTCTGACGGCTCGTTGATTGGCGCTAGAGCTGACTTCGAAGGTACCGGTTTCTTGGAGAACATGTCCTTGATGCTCCGCCGGCGGTCAAATTCAGGAATGAGTTTTGCTGACAATGGTAAAAGGTCTTTTGCCGTCCAGTCCCTAAGCCGAACCCCGTCCTTAAAAACTCCCGGGGGATTCAAGATGTCCCTGAGATGCACCTCTTTCCCGTCAATACTTACAACATCTTTGAGAGTTGCAAAGACTGGGCAGTGATCAGACCCCATCAAACCTTCCTGAATATTAGAGTCGATAAACCAGTCCTTCATATTGTCACTACATAGGACATAGTCAATTCGGCTGCCGACATTGGCGGGACGAGCATTCTTCTTGGTGTCCCAGCAAGTGAACATGCTCTCGCGAGCAGGATGAAAGAGCCGGCCAAGGTCCCATAGCACTGGTTCTTCCCTGTTCTCATCCCTGTCACCTGGTACGTCTCCTTCGAATATAAGCTGATTGAAGAGGCGGCGGGGGGGAGCGGAAAAGTACTCTTCGACCGTCTCGCCTTCTTTCCTTAGTCGCTCGAAAAGGTTGGCTGTATCCATAGATGTTCGGATAACGTTGAGATCGCCTGTTAGGACGACCCTCTTGCCCATGGCCACGAGGTTACGGATTCGCACGTCTAATGCGTCAAGGTAGGCTAGCCTGAAATCATCTCGGTTCCCATCGCTGTTAGCCGGGCTGTAGGTCCCTATTAGAACAAACGCGGGGAACTCAAGGATGACGCATCGCCCTTCGCAGTCGAGAGTTAGATCGTCTATCAGGCCCACAAGCTGGCCAGGCTCTGGGTAACCCCCTATTTGTTGATCTGGGGGGAGGTCTCGAAATTTAGTTGAGGAATTCGGTGGACATAAGACCCCGGTGATCCCTTCTTCTGCTCTGATGGGCATACACACCGAATTACGGGTATAGATGGCCACGCCAGCGTAGCCTACTCTTACTATTAGGTTGGATTATTAGACGGGCTGTGATTTACGCACCTTTTTTGTGCTTGGGCAAGTTGAAGAAAACATCCCAGCCAGGTACCAGGACCATATCATCCTGGAGGTCCTTGCGCTGGATTTTAGTCTCCTGCATCACGACTATGTCTGCCTCGAGTATATCGAACATAGCCTCGAAAGTCCTCTTTTCCCTCCATGGCTGGTATCCGAACGGGTTCCTGTTTTGATTAGTTAAAAGTGAGGTTCTATATGTAGCATATGGTTCCATACCGAATGCCGTTCACTATAGGCGGTGTTAGTGAGATTAGATATGACGAAAATGCGGTAGAATACGACGATACGAACCATTCCACGAAGTGATGCGTACCCCCATGATGTCGGAGATGCATTCACGAATTTACAGGATATTTGATAATTTTCTAAGGTGCATCCCCGGTCATTCCTCGTCTACTTCGTCCTTTTCATCTACTACCATCGTCGGATCTGTGCTGGACTGGCGGAGATTCTAAAGGACATGTACGTGAAGTACCTAATATACGGTGGGTGGAGGGAAGTTCTAGTACAAGTGACGGTGCATTTCCCTCCACTTATATGGAAATATTGAAGAGAATTAAGCGTCCCTTCCTTATTATCAATGTTTTAGGTACCTTAGGTAATAAAGTTGTCTGTAAACTTTTCACTACGTGTAGTTGCACAAACTTCAATTACCTAACCGTGCATACCGCTGGAAATCGCGACGTTCTAGGTACCTTGCATGGAATCCGGGGACATCACACGCGCCACACCAAAATGACCCGAAGTCCCGTGATATGCGTCATGTCTCAGAACCCATGTCGTAGAAAGCCACAAAAACGTATCCGCCGTATCCCCGCAGATTTTGGCCGGGCTCTAAAGGTCTAATCCAATCAAAAGCTGACCTCATTCGACAATTGACAATTGAAATCAGACCACCAAATCTACAACGACGTCTACATTACATACAACATACAACATACAACATACAACACTCTCCCCTGTAAACAACCAACGAATATATAATAATAAATAATAAGCGAATAGACCACTACGATGCTTCCACAGCGACAGCTTCTCCGCGCGACGCCGCGCCTGGCTTCCCAGCTGCGTGCCGCCAACACCGCACCCGTCTTCCGCTCCGCTCTGCAGCGCCGCTTGGCTTCGACCGAGAACGCCTTCATCAAGGAGCGACAGGCTGTCAAGGAGCACGCTGCCGCCACCACGGGTGAGTTATCTAGGCGCTCCACGATATCATCTAGGAGCGAATAATACTAGGAATTGGATTGCTGACCCCTCGCAGAGCTCTGGCGCAAGATCTCCATCTAGTAAGACCCATCCATCCATCCATCCATCCATCCATCCATCTATTCCGTCCCTACGTGAGAACCGCACAAAGCAGCTAACAAAATACCTCAACCCCCCCAGCGCCGTCATCCCCGCCCTAATCCTCGCCAGCGTCAACGCCTACAACCTATACCAGGAGCACTGGGAGCACTGGTCGCACCTGCCCCCCCTAGAGGAGCGCGTCGAGTACCCCTACCAGAACATCCGCACCAAGAACTTCCCCTGGGGCGACGGCGACAAGACCCTGTTGTACGTATTTTCTAGTCTACCTACCCTTTTTCAAGCTTGCAGGAGCGTAAAAGAGACGAGGGAGAGAGAAGACGAATTGCTAACTCGAGACAAAAAAAAAAACCAGCTGGAACGACAAGGTCAACTACCACAACAAGGACAAGACCACCTAAGCGCCCGGCCGTAGTTGAAAGCCTATAGTGTGGAATTGCCCGCGATGAACTAACTAACTACCTGACTATGGGAGGCGTAGGAGCGGAGGGAAGTGCATGCGGGAATCAGTCATAGAGCAGGTCGCCCTCGACGAGCAAGACGAGAGACGGACGGGCTGTTTGTGTATCTTCGCCGTTGTAGATATGTCATTCCTTTTGTCAATCCAAAAGCAGATCAACCATCTTATCCTACCTTGGACAAGCCCACCTAACTCCTATATACACATCATTACTTATTTGTTATCTTAATGTACTGGTGTGAGCCTAGTGTTCCTCGCTTTACAGCTACCGACTAACCTAACTCATATACGAAGAAGAAAACAAGCACTAACTACAAGTAAAGTAAAGATATATGTAAAAGAAAAAAAGAAAAAAAAAGTAGGTATTTACTACGCAAACCAAACTAGGGCACATAGGTATCTTAGGTAGGTTAAACAAACAAGTTCCAAGACCCCGACGCCTGGCCAACCTACCAACCAACCAATCCTTTCCCTCTCTGGTTCATTATATACCCTCTAAGGATCAATACCAGGACCCCTGAACCCCTTTAAGCGTACAGGCCAGACTTGTCTTGAGTGCCTCCGATGTACGGTCTAATATGATATGTAAATACTGCACAGCGTATGCTGATTAGACGATTTGTTGTATGATGGGTAAGCTCCGCCTGTTGGGACGGCTGGGTATAGTAGGTATTGTATGGTGAGTTTTAATCGCTATACCCCGGTCTTTATTTCACGGAGGTGGTATTGGTAGTGACGTGGGCATTGACGGCCGATTCGGTAAAATCGGGCTCGGGACCCTCCATCCAATTCGTGTACCCATCTTCGTCCCCGTTCTCTTCTCCTATCCCCTCACGATGCTCCTCTACTCGTCTCCTCGGAGGTAGAGTAGGAGCCGGAGTATGCGTCTTCGCAGATGCCTTGTCCTCGTCATCTACTATCTGAATCAAGTCCTCGCTCTCGCCTTCTGCATATTCATCCATGTCACCATCCAGTTCTTCCGCATCCTCAACCCAAGGCTGGACGTACCCGGGTGAAGACATGGAATCATCGTGATCGCTAATCTGGAATGACGGGCTATTCGGCTCCGAATCTGCCGGCGCCGCAACAACAAGGACATTATCTTCATTGCTGCCGTCGTTACCGGCAAGATGGATTTGAGAGATACGTCTGCGCCTCGATGGTAGCGGAGGTGGCGGCAAGGGCCGTCGTTCTGTTTTCGCGTCATGTAAGTTACCGGTACTTTGTCGTGGGAGCGATGGCGGGGGAGCAATAGGTTTCCGTTTGGTCATGATGGCCATCGGCGATGCCTTCTTTCCGGGCCCGGGTAGCGGCGTGCCAGGAGGCGGTAATGGCTGACCACGCCCCATAGGCTGATTCAGATCCAGCGGGGGATCAGAAAGCTTGCGTCCGTTAACGCTGCCGTTCTTATCCGTTTGCCTCTGTATTGCGTTCAGGCCCCATCGTTTCGCCGTCGCGGCGACGTTAGACACGGCGGCTAGGGTATTCCGCTTGCCCTCTGACGTCCCATTTATAGAGCTAGCCGGTGAAGAGGTATTTTCTCTTCGTGTGAAGAAACCCTTGCCTATTGACCCAGCATTACTCTTGATCGAATTTCTGCTGCTAGATGGCGCAGGTGAGCTTGGAGGCGCATTATCGCTCTCGGCGCTTCCTGTAGAGGAGGCAGTGTGACGTCTGCCTGGTGCTGTAGGGGTGTTCTCATCCTCGCGTGCTTCAGGGACAGCTTCGGAAGACGAATTCGTGGAGCCATTGATCGCTTGTGAGATAGAAGATGATTTACCGGGCGACCCGATGGGGGTATGAGCCGGTGATGTGTTTTTGGACCTGGCAGAAAGATGCGCCATTGCACTAATTGCGTCATCACGATCTGGTGGACTGGTCGAAGGCCTGAAAGTTTCGGCGTGCACTGGGTCAGTGCTGACGATAGGGCTCGACGTCGAGATGGATCCTGATCGCGAGGGGTGTAGCACCTCCGTTGCAGAGCTTCGTGGGCTCTTTGCTTCAAAAGCTGTGGTTGATGCAGACGGACTCTGACTACCATCACTTTGTAAACTCTTTTTTGAATTAAGCCTTCTACCCCAGAATCCTTGTGGTTGCACCGTTTGTGAGGTCTCCATAACAGGCACGGTATGACTCTTCTCCAACGAAGGCTGTTCAGGAGGCATATCCGTACTTGTTTCTTCGATATGGCTGACCTCGTTTACATCCCCGTGCCGAGCAGCCTCAGCTTCGGTGTTAGGAGAAGTCTCAACTGCGTCATCGCCTTCGAATATTCCTCCGCGCCATTGTTTGTGTTCAGTGTTGAAGAAGGGAATATCGTCCCAGAATGGCGCTACTAGTGTCTCGACCACGACCTCCTTGATTCTGTTCTCGATCTGTCGTAGAATCACTGTGTATGTAATCTGCCTCGAACTTACGATAGGCTCGATCGTCATCTCCATCTTAGGCATGGACTGGAATGAGAACCATATACGATTGCTAGGAGGTGGCTTAATCTTGAAGAAAGCATGTCCCTCCAGCTTCTTCAAGACCACAGCAAGTACGAGGTTGACTTCTCTCACCTTAAACCGGGGGCCTAGATCGATACGCGCCGTGGCAGCAACCTCTAATCTGAATTTGCCGTTGTACTTAACATCGGCCTCCATTCCACACTCGCCTTCCACACTAAAGTCTTTGAGCCGGGGATTCATAAATAACGGTGCAGAATCTCCTGTGTCGATATTCTGTATCGTGATACTAGTGAGAAAAGATGGTCGATTGACACGGGAGATTTTCTTCGTGATCTTCTCTCTAATTAAATGTTCGATGTCCTTAGTCTTGTAGATGCCGAGGAATATCCTCCCGATCAAGGCATTAAGCCATCTCGTCTGTAGGTGATCCTCAGAGGAATGTAACTTCTGAACTAATGATATGATATTCTTGACTTCGAACCGCTGGGGTTTCGGGGCTAGATTCAGACCAGTAAAGTTCTGTTCTTGATTTCTGAGCAGAGCAAAGTAGAAATCTTCCTTGGCGGAGCAGTTCTCGGAGAAGAGGTAGAATGGTTTTGACACTTGAGCGCCTCGAGTCAAATCTTTCCCATCCGTCTTCCTGCTCAAGCGCAGTGCATTTCGCTTAATAAACAACTCGCCTTCGGGGGTAGGGTCTCCTCCAGAGTATATGCTGATATCGTGATGAGCTAAGGAGATAACGTGGCGGACCTCGAGCTGCTCGTCGTCGTCAAATAGCATTAGGTGGCCGTGTCTGTTGTCGATGAGACGTTAGCTACTCAGTTCCTAAGACCTGCATCAAAGACGGCTAATAACGTACCTCAGTACGACATAGAACACATTTCCTGCCTTCTTAGGTCGCTGGCTGACACCTTTACCGTCGTCTAACGGGCTAGGAGTCTGCTTCCTGTCGAAGATGCTTCTGTACATAGACTGGTATACACTCTGGCTAGGCGGGGCGACAGTGGCCGAGCCTACGGGAGTAGAACGCTCTATCGGTTTGGCATTGATGCCCATCGGGGTGTATTCACGACATACTGCGAAGTATCCTGCCGCTGTGTCGGATTCGGCTAGGAGGCGCTGTTTCGATTCTTCCTTCTGAGCCTCGCGAAGGGCTGTCGTATCGTCATCAGGCTGAACGATGCTGTTGGAGTCATTGCCGTCATCTTCCTTTACGATTTCATCGCGGGTCGGAAATGTAAGATGCGCATGAAGTAGTATGACTGCTAAAACTAAAGGAATGAAAGTGACACCACCAAAGAGGTAGGTCAATAAGAAACCAGTCCAGCTCATACCCATATCTCCGGCTTACAACAGCAATAACAGCCAGCAAAGTGCGGATCTGCTAACCTTTGCGGCGGCCGAATTCTGTGGACCATGGATAATTGGTTGATTATGTTTTGTTTTCTTTTATCTTTTTTTCCGAAAGAGGTCCGAGGTAAAAAAAAAAAAGTCAAGTATGGTCAGTGATTATATTTAGTATTTAGTATAAGGCTGGTATAAGCTGCATGTGGTATAAGTTCGTATTATGTATTAAGTTAAGTTCGGTAAGGCCACCTTAAGAGCTTCGATGCTCATGCCAGCTGGAGCTATTGCATGCAAGTGGAAACCTTAGAAGGTTAATAACGGATCCGGGCGGTCCAATGGCCTCCAATTGCCTTGGCTATGGGACGTCACAGGCCGACTTTCAGCGCACGTGGGGCTTTTGTAGGTTCGCGGGGCAGGCACAGCTGATATCTAAACTCTCTTAATTCTAAGTTAACGGCTAAGGTATTACATGCTTATAATATATTACATATTACATCCATTATTACATATAAATACCTACCTAAAGCATGAGGCAATCAAATAAAGCAGTATACTTGAAATAATAATATTATATATTAATATTGATACTGCATGAATTCATCTTGCATTCAAAACAACCTACCTTAAGTATAATGCATTCATAAGACACCTCGGTTTACGTATGCTCTATAAAGTCAACGTGCCATCTCAGAGGCTGTCATCGTACCCCCTTTATGCTAAAACGCCATACGATGCTTAGTATCCTACAAGACCATCCCATCCGAAGAATCCCAAGGCCACAATGTAGCATCCTCTACCCCAACCTCGCCCTCCAGAAGCTGCTTCACAGCCGGCTCTATAACACTCTTCTCCGCCCTGTACCGCGCGACCTGCTTCATTCGCGTATAAAACACAGGGCAGTCCTTACTATCGCAAGGCACGCTGTCTAGCGGCGTGAGCCCCGCGCAGCTCTGGCATATCTTCATTGCCTCCGTTAACTTCGTCTCTTCGCGATTAAGCTGCGTCTGCAACTTGAGGAGCGAGGCCGGCGCGTTGCGCCGACATCTCGTGCACACCGAGTAACCCTCGGTTTTAACCTTTGAGCCGCAGACTAGACAGGCTGCCGCCTTCATGTATGACTCGAGTGTCTTCTTGGCGAACGGGTTCTTCCCGCTACCGTACGTGGTCGGATCTACGCGTCGAATCCGTTGTACTTTAGGCATTTCGTCGTACCACTGCCGTACGTTGGCCCCGACGAGGTTGAAGATGCGCTCGAGCGGCGGGATCAGGTTCTTTGATATGTAGTATTCTGAGTCTAGTTGAAGATGCGGGCTAGTAAGTAGTTCCTCAGGTGCCACGCAGCGGTCGATGAGACGTGCTCCGGGGGCTCCCGAAATGACAACGTAAGGAACCCGCTCGCCGTACTGAGGCTCCGCTCTGGCATCTTCCAG